AGATATATCTTTGTAACATTAACTGAATATAGAAGAAGCACATTTGGAGACTGAGATTATATATATAATATTATATATATTTATATATTATATATATATTTATATATAAATAAATATATAAGATTTATAATTTATATAATTTATATCTATTAAAAGATATATCTTTGTAACATTAACTGAATATAGAAGAAGCACATTTGGAGACTGAGATTATATATATATATATATATATATATAATATATATTTGGACAAATTAACTTCAATATAATTTCTAGATGGAAATCAAATATGCAATCTAGTATGTAAGTATGGAAATCAGAGGAGAGTGACAGCCTAAAGTTGTATATTTAGATAATATCAATGTGTATAAACTATATTTAAAGCCATAAGTTTGATCTTGATGAGGTCACCTTAGGAATGAGTATAAATATTCATATTGAGGATTGAGCCTTGGAGCTGAGGTTAACAAGTAGGAGTAAAGAAGACTTAGAATGAGGACCTTGTGATGGAAAGTGTGTCCTGAGAAATCAATTAAAATGTATTGAAAAAAGTTTGAGAAGATTGGAGAGTTGATGGTTTGACTATTGGGGGCACTCAATAGAAGCAGATCTAGGCCTTGGTTTCTAATGCAAACCCAGTTGTAACTATCGATAGGTCAAGGCTTGGAAGCGAACTTTCAAGGACACCAGTGAAGAGAGCATACAAGGTACAAAGGAGGTGATGCATGCTACTCCCAGTGGTCTCAGATGTTTGTAGTTGGACTTTGGATACAGCAGTTGTACCTGAGGATGCACAATCTTGGAAGGACAGAACAAGCTTGTTTGGGGGATGTTCTCTATCTAGATGTGGCATCCTGGGGAAACAGTTGTTTTTGCAAATCTGATTCTTACCTCCCTCTTTGTTGTAACTGTTTACAGACTAATGGCCTCTTTGACAAAACTAAATCTCGAGCTATTTATTTATTTGTTTTGTGAAAGATTCTCCAGTTTTGTTTGGTTAACAATTAGTTCTGTCTTTTATATTCACTCCCAGTTCTAGTTCTCTTAGTCTAAGGACCAGCTGGTTGAGTTCTTAGTAGTCTGTAGAGTAGTGTATGGCTCATGTTCTAGCAACATCAGAATCACATGAAAAAATTATCAAAAGCGTAGAACTCTGGATTCCACTAACACTTTCTGGAACTTGATTTGAATACAGCACTTTGGCAAGCTTCCTAGGTAATTGTGATGCTTGGTAAAACATGAGAATCATTTCAAATAACTGTTCTTTAGGCATTTCTGTTCCCCATTCATGTTTGAAGCAGGCTACTTGCATAACTTACTCATTTTCAGGCTCCAGCTAGGAAGCCCAGTAAGGGGGTTTTGAGCCAAACTGCAGGCTTTCATGTTGCAAGATGTGCCCTGAACTGCACTGGAGAAATGCACCTTCCCTATTTTATCCCCACCTTGTGAATGAACTGCTTCCTCTCTGATCACAAGGTTTTTCTGAAGATGGAATGTGAGAATGTGGGAACCATGAGGTCTCAGCCGCAGAGCTATGACCATCGGTCTCAGCATTATGAGTTAATTTAGAGGACTTCAATATAAGCATTGACTGCTGCTGAGATTTAATGCTTTCTCTCTTCTAGAAACAGATCCCCGAACCTGGGAGAAAAACCGTTCTCTTTCAATTAACTCCTACTACATTTAATCTGCTCCAAAGTTCTTTGTATAAATGTTTTTTATGAAGGCGCGGGGTTTGCAAAGAGGAAAAATGATGACATTACTGCTGAACATCGGTTGAGACTGAACAGAGAGAGAACTGCAGTAGAGAGAGCCGTGGAGTTAAAGCAGGGGGATTTTATAAAAATTGTGGATATGATACTCTTTTACGCTGATGTGAATAATCTGGTAAAGAGGAAATGCAGATCATTTAAGAAGGAAAAAAGGGAAAATTGCAGTAGTCAAGTTTGTAAAAAGTTGATGTAATTAGTACACACATTGAAGGATTGGTCTTTGGAAGATGAATAGTTAATCTGTTAAAACAGGGAGCAAGACAGACTGGGAACAGATGCTCAGGGTGGAAACATGAGGAAATAATCCTCTTGGCATTGCTTGGATTTCTTCAGTGCAGCCAGGAATACCAACTATTGAAAGTGAGGAGTTTGTAAGAGCTGATTTGAGCAGAGGAAGGGAGATAAAATAATTATCTTGCAGATCAGGAGGGTGATAGAAATAGCAGCTGATAGTTGGTATGTCAGGCAGATCTTTGGATGTCCTTGAGGTGATAAATATTAGTATGTTTTCCTTCAGTTGTGGTTGGCTGTGCATTTGCAATCATAGAAAGAAGAGATTTGGGTTAAACCAGCATTTTATTTTGTCAGGTGAGTAAGTGGAAGAGAGACAGGAATGAGGAAAATAAACAAGTTTACAAGAGAATTATTATAATGATGGACCACAGAAGAAGTGGTAAGGTAAGGAAAGGGGTAGGTAAGGAAAACAGTGAGACCATGAGAAATGTGAAATGAACTAAAATAGCGACTGGTGTTTCCAAGTTGATCAAGTACTTCTAAAACGGGGTGCTAGAACCAGCAAAATGCAGTTCCTTCATTCAAAGCACTTTCTTAAGGCATCTAGCAATTTCTCTTTATCAGAAACACATTTAATTAGGTCAAGTTTCTACAAAAGAATGCATGAACCACTAAGGTTTGATAGGTGTTCAGGGAGCCAGCTGTTCTAAATCTAACTTGCCTAGCTGAAAAATCTAACTTTCTTAGCTGAAAAGGAGAAATGAAGTGAAGAATAACATTAATTCATCATTAATTCACCACAGTAGATCAAAACTTTGTTCTACGGCATCTTTATCAAGGAGGGAAAATAATAAGTGCATTTCAAGGATCATATTTAATATTTAAACCTATTTGAAGAAACCAGAAAGCAAGTAGAAAATGTATTGTATGTATATCAGTAAGAGATGAACTTTGGGCATGATAACAGAGACCCCAAATAACAGGGGCTTAAAGAAGATACTGCTGTGTTTTCTTACATGTAAAAGAAGCCCAGATAAGGCACTTCAAAAGGCAACTCCATCATGTCATCATTATCGTTTGCTTCCCCTACCGTGGTGAGAACATGGTTTCCATTCTCTGTGTCATCCCATGTTTTTCCAAATGGCAGTGGAAATTCCAATTATCATGTTCATATTTCAACAAGGAAAAAGGAAGAAAGAGGAAGGAAAAATAACACCTGTCACCTGAGAGAGCACTTTTGAAATAACTTTAATGGAAATCACAACAGTAACTTCCATTGACCCTCTCTAAATGCAGAGATTTAAGTATATTTCTTTGGCCTTATTGTTTTGCCATCCACAACAATTAAGGGTTCAATTACTTAAAAGAAGAAATAAATATTGGGTAGGTCAGTGGCCATCTTTGTCACAAAAATGTCTGGTGTACCAAAACTTTTTGCAAAACAGTAGTAGAACAATGACACTTTATAAAATTACTTAGAAATGGTAGGATTATCTGTAAAACAGCAGCAGCTGAACAAATGATTTGCTAAACAAGTGATTTCTTTTTTGTGTGTGTGTTTTCCTTTCCTTTGGTTTTGTGATGTTTTATATTTGCAATAATAACTTTAAATGTATATTTTATATATAAATAAGTAGAATAAACTTGAGAT